TTTTTGTATCTTTATCTTCTATGTTTGTTTCTACATTGCATATGAGAATTGTGAACCGAGCGAACAAAAATATTCAAACAGGTTTGAAGAGGACTTCCCTTCTTTGAATACACAAAGAAAGATATAATAACCAGAAAGCAAGTAGCTAATAAGAGAGAGATGGCAGGCCAAGAGACTGAGAAGTACCTTGAAGACTGCTCTGTTTCCAAGTCAGATGTTTACCCTTTTTTTCTGTTCACCTATTTAGCATATATATGATGTGTATTCATTATGCCTAATTAACTGAAAATGATGCTTTGAAAATCACAAAGTATGCTCTCTAGGTTTGTTTCATAGTTTCAATTATCTGAAAGTAAAATGGAAATTGCACGATGGCTATTCAGATTTTGGATATAGGAAAATTCGTGTTTGAAATATTTTTGTGGGATTTCAAAGTTCAACGTTTAAAACTTTTGAAAAGAGCATATGATCCCAAAATTTGATTAGGGAGATGCCAATGGAAATTTTGTTTTTGTTTTTCTTTTTTACTTTTCCATGTATTCTTGAACAATTTGTTTGGTTTACTAGCGTTTGAGAAAAGAAACGAAATAGGTTGTATACCTAGTGCACTTGACTTCTGCATCCTATAGGGTCGGGGAGAGGTGGTATAGGTAAGCAGAGATTACTTCATTTTTTTCTAGGAGATTGATTCTATGACTCAAATGTATGCCACAGTGATGGGGGAAAATAGTACTTGATATTGCGGGGTGCCAGATCACAAATTATAGATCCAATATAGAAGGTTTTGGTGCAAGGGGGCTTTATTTGTAAATTTCCTTGTATCTTGCATTGCATCTAAGGCCCGGTTTGTTTCACTGGATATAAAATGGAAGATATATAATATGAATAGGATATAGGTATTGGATTGTTGACTTGATATATAAGATTGGATATATATTATCCATGTTTGTTTTACACAATATAAATAAGTAATTTCCAAGATTGCCCTCATAATATTATATTATATTATATTATATTATATTCAAATTTTATATTAAATTAAATTCAATAATATTATATTATATTAAATTCAAAATTTGTATTAAATTATATTATATTATATTAAATTATTAAATAATATTATATTAAATTAAATTAAATTCAATAATATTTATATTAAATTAAATTCAATAATATTATATTATATTAAATTCAAAATTTGTATTAAATAATATTATATTAAATTAATTTCAATAATATTTATGTTATATTAAATTCAATTTTATGTTATATTAAATTCAATAATATTAAATTCAATTCAATAATTAGATTATATTAAATAATTGTATTATACTAAATTATATTATGTTAGATAGACAAAAGGATAAATTGGACTTTTTAAATCATATCCCAACCAAGGGGGATATGATATAATGGGGGGTGGTGGTATTGTATATCCTCCACTTTTGGGGGATATAGAATTCCATGGGATATTATATCCTCTTTCAAAAAAAATTACAAACATGGGATTTGTGGACCCCACAGGATATAATATCCAATCTCACCCTTAATATCCTGGAATCAAACAGGGCCTAAGAGAAAGGAACACATAATCAAGGTTGCCTAAGCATATTTTCAAATAATTTTGTGTGGATACAACTTGAACATATTGATGATATGTGTTCAATTTCAAATCTCAATTGGCACTTGATATTAGTTATGCAATGTACATGTGATTGTGGCAACCATGTCTCTTGACAAGACAGACTGGAATTTCATGTAATGATGCATACCTTGTTTGTCATGTTCCTCATTGAAACTCATTTTTTAATTATTACTACGAACAATCGCCTTTTCTTCTTACAATTTTCTGTCTTTTTTATTTTTATTTTTTTATGGGTGTTTATGGGGTGGGTGGGTGTGCATGCTTTTAGGTTGAATCATGACAAAAGCCTTTGGTTCTATAATTATCTAGAGAGGAATTGGAATTTGGTTACTAATGGGGAGAAAAGGTTGACGTTGAGTTGGAAAAATAGGAATCTGTGTCGTGACAATGGAAAAAAAATATGGAAACAAGGATAATCTTTATTTGAAATTTTTTAATTCTCGCAAATAATATGTGAATGATTTCTAATAAATTGGTTATATTTGTGTAAATTCGCGTTTCATTGAATTAAATGCAATAAGTTGAGGTTGTGAATGGTTGATGGCAATGTGAATAACAATTTGGAACTTGAATAAAAATTTAGAGGATTTTGCTGAAGTGGTTAAGCTAAAATATTGACGATTGAATCGTTTAGTCTATGTCATATATGCTTTGCTACTTGTCTTGTGTATTAGTAAGCTGTAGTTTTCCTTATCAGCTTTGAACTAGTTTCGATGTTAGAAATCTAGTTGAATGTCACTTTGGCCATCGGTTTGACACATCAACCATGTGGAAGCCCATTATTGTAGTTTAATTCCGTTGCTCCTATTTTAAGCCAAATCTATTGTATCTCGTTATTTGAAATTATACTGGTTGCTAGCAGCAGCCTGTGAATTAGATGACATGATCCAAGAAGTGGTACACTTTCATTTATTTGACAATGGGTAGTTGGAAACCTCCGGATTGTTGAACCAAGCATGACTATTAAACGATGGTTTCAATGGTTTAATTGAAAATCATCAGAACTGCAGTGTCGCTCATTTCTATATAATTTCTGGTAGAATAAGCTGTTAAAATTGGTTTGAGTAAAACATGCTTTGTTCATTAGTTGGTTTCTGCTAAATATTTGCATATATGATCATCACATTGAATTTTGGTTTTGACATAATAGATGTCCATCTTTTATTTTTGAGTCTTTTTAGTTGAATTGTCATGCATCGTAAACTTACTAAATGTGGGATTGTCTGCAGTGCACTGGGCACATGGGCATTCTCCGTTGCTGGTGCTTTGCTCGCAATACCGGTGGGGATAAAGCGGAAATCTTTGGCACCCCTCGTGTTCTTTGGCACAACTGGTACGATGCTAGATATAATCATGGGAATTAGCCAATGTGAAAGGGAACATGCAGAACGCCAAATGAAGCTTTTAGAAGAACAAAATGCTGCTGCCATGGGCGCTTTGACAGAGACAGGAACCGAGTCTTGATATGAACGTCATGTTCTCATGTTGAAAATTTGTTCTCCACTTGTGTGGCTGTCTTCATAGAGTTTTCTTCTTTTTCTTTTTTTCTTTTTTTTTCACTCTGATATTAAATAATGTTATTAGTTTTGAAGGAGTTCCATTTATGCTGTAAGATCATGTTCTGAAAAGCCATGAAGTTGTTACAGATGCTGAATCAGTTTGAATCCTCTTTGGAGCAAAATATCTTTACAGAATCCAACGTCTTTCTTTGAATCCTGTTTCACTGACCTAGCTTTGATTCATCTCATCTAATATCTTCATTTTTCAGGGATCTCTTTAACAGAAATTACATCGTCAATTATTCAATGGCAAACCAAGTTGAAATTGTTACCATGACCAAAAATAGAGTTGAAGGCATACGGACTGTTAATGAGTTTCCCTAAAATAGTTCCTCAAAAACAATTATTCAAATGAGTTTCTTGTGTTTTCCAGAAAATGAAAATAGAAAACATAACGAAAATACAACCAAACTAATTGGTCAGTAAACAATAAGAACCTGCAAACCAACAAAGCCTTGTATTCCAATCAATTAGACTTGGATGCATGAGTTGTTTTTTGCTATTTTATTGCTACTATATGCTCATATATATAGATATAGATATAGACATAGAAATAAGTATAACAGTAACCTAAACCGAGGACGCCATCATTCCAAAGCATGGTATCGACACAGAAACCATTTCAAATCTCCCGCTTTCCCAATCTCTGCCCACATTGACTGTAACTTTGAATTTCAGAGGACTATTCTTCCCTTGTTGCATCAAAACTTTAAGCAATACTAACCAAATCAAATACAAGTTTGGGGCTTCAGACTTCTGTTTTCCCTTTTGTCCCAAGCTCTTACCTTCCCGTGGAGGGTGAAGACAGTTAACTTCACTCTCGGCAGCATTCAGCTGAGTAGTAGTAGCTCTTGCATCAGAATGATCCGTGTTCTGAACATTGTTTGCATTAGGGGTTTGATCATGATTTCGCTCTCTATAGCAGGAGTATACTCTCTCAGCCTTGATGTTTCCAAACAAGAGTTCAGCAGCCTTGTTTTTGACGAGGAGAGGAATATATTTTGAGTCATCCCATACGTATAACTGCAAATGAAGACAGAAATCAGTTATGCTTGGCAAGTTTATAGGAGATGACCACATTCAAAAATAATATTAAATAAATATATAAAATTGTACGAATCTTGTACGAAGTCCAAAGATAATATTCCAATGCTCGCATGGTGACAATCAGCCGCCAATTTATTTTCAAAATAATGAAGAAGAATCAATTGCAAATTTATCAAGAAGAAGAAAAAACACCTACCACTTTATTCCAGTTGATCCATATTTAGGTTCATTGATGTTATAGTTAGGAAGATCACCAAGAATTTCAAGGTGTATTAAGATTTGGGGCTTATCTCTAACTGTGTATTTCCATATCTTTTTTCTTTTTCTTTTTTATTGGCATTGGGGTGTCCGGATCGAGGCCCGACTAATCCCCAGGGTGCATAGGCCCTTGGCAAGGAATGTTTCGATCCCTAAACCTTGGAGGGAGCACACCTCCAAGACCAAGGGCTTGCTACCAGGCCAACCCTTTGGGATTAACTGTGTATTTCCATATCTTACCCTTAAATTCAACAAAGATGGAACTCACTGAACTGTGAATAACAAATTTGTATTTAGATAATTTGGTGAAATGAAAAATTGACACGACTTCAAAAAAAGGGGGAACACCAAACTGGTGTTCACCCTTTATATATTAGTATAGATTACAAGCCAAGCTGCAGCTCAATGTGGAACTTGGTATTCAAAGGGTTTTCAATGGACCTTCGATTAAGAGATACAATGTTCCACAAAATGAAGTATGGTAGATCAGGAGAGTTTAGAAATTATCTTTTTAAATTCTTATCCTTCAGGATGATGATACAAGTAAATGCATAAAGAGAATAAGCCAATTATGAATAATTAAACAGAAGAATCAAGAAAATTTGCAACCCTGGACAGCAAGTTTTTTCCGTAAAGTACACAATATTCATAATGTCACAAGTAAGAAACTCTCCCATAAAGATCAAATTAAGACCAACAAGCCAGCCATACCATGAAGGGTCTGTATATTGAGGTTATTAAATGGAGGTGGCTAGTGCTTTTTGGACAATAGAGTGGAATGTTGCTTTGGTCGAACGTAGTAGACCTGCAAACAAGGATGGATGACACGCTAATTCAGTAACTAATATGATCATGATAAATCATGAAACAGTTGAAAGCAGAACTGAGTCTTCTCTATGCCCCAACTCAGAATTCAATGGAGAGCCGCATAGTTGGCAACCAGAGCAAATGAGATCTTCAGTCAAATTATTCTCTCCCGTTGTCCATAATCTCCTACTGATGAACATCCTCTCCTCCTCAGATTCATGAAGATGTTTCAGAAAAATTTCACCAATGGATGCATAGAAAGTAGCCTTGCAAGAATCAGTTAGATGTGACACTTCTAAAAGAGAAAAGAAGTCCTGAGAGCCTCTCTCTTCATGCACTTTCCAGTTTATAGATTGTTGCCTCATAGGCTGCAGAAGTTATAAACAGTGAAAATCAAACATGTATCATGCACGAAACAAGGGCTGATTAAAATACTTCTTTCTAAGAACTTAAAAGTCAAAGAGAATACTTGGTGCCTGTGCAATTGCACATTGCAAAGAGTGGACCCAGTTTGCTGCACCCACTCAATAACTTTCCTAAGCTTTTCCTTTGTTCTTACACCAACTCGACATTCCCCTATGATGCCCTCCACACCTAAAACATGAAGATAACATCTTATATCCCATTTATTGAGTAGAGTTAAGTAAGTTGCATTTGCTATGATAGATTAACAGAAACATAACAAGGCAATCAAATGAGATATCATTATGATTTCAATACTAATATCCACTTCAATTGAAACATATGCATAAAATAATATGAATAAATTCAGAGAATTCACAGCAAGCAACATCCCAAGCAAATAAAGCCATTTCAAACTACCAAGTAACCTTAAGCAACAGAGAAAGGACATTATGCCGCCTCTACCACAAAACCTACAGAAATAAAATAAAAAATAAATCCCTTAAAACAAGAGGAAAAGAACACATACCCTTAGAAACAAGTGATTCACTAGGGTGGACTAAACATTGTAAAGATGAGCATTGGATGGTTCTGGCCTCAACAAAATCTCCAAATTTTGTAACCTTGACATCTGTATGATGTACAAATATATCAAAACTCCACGTCAGACAAGAATCAGTTATACTATTTGTTGGAAAAATGGTTTAATATAGGCATATTTTTTTAGCCCATTTTTAAGTGGGCCCCAAACGTTGGTTGGAGTGGGTCCGAAGAGGTGAAGTATTCCTTGCCGCGTGGCAAGTCACACGGTGAAGACGGAACGTCAAAACCATTTATGAGTGAATGGAAAGTTGACGTCGTTTTCGAGTCTAACATTAATTTTTTAGATAAAATTCATTTGAATTTTTTCAATAAAAATTATTGTGGGAATTTAATTTAATTCTAAATTTATTTTTTGGTTTCCTTAAGTGGTTTCCTAAAAATGATTAAACTATTCAAATAGTTATATATATATATGTATTCGGACCCACCCCAACCAACGTTTGGGGCCCACTTAAAAATGGGCTAAAAAAATATGCCTATATTAAACCATTTTTCCAACAATCCTCCACATTAATGGAATTTGACGGAGAGAAAATGCAACAACATGATCTAATTACAGAGAGTACAGAAATTGGAAATATTCTGCAAAGGATAAGTAGCTTTTGGCTTTGAACCTTCCCTTGTGAGACACTATCGGATTTACTAGCTAACCAGTGAATATGATGTCTTGAACTGTTCAGCCGTTTGTGTAAACCAGGACAATAGAACTCACACAGTATATCCCCAGACACAGTTTAGTTCTCACTATTGTGTTCATTTTGGCCCTGAACAACCTGGTCTTTCATGAGTGCTCTAGAGAATTTGTAGCCCTTCACAAATCTCATAGAACCGGCCCAGTTCACACTCACATAGGTTATTCTTATGAAGAGTATCCTGCCATACTCCACTAGGTTTGCCTAGTTATAAGAATCATTAAAATTTTACTTAACCTCAAACGCTGCAGACATCACTTATTTTATCATAGAAATGGGTAGGAGTTGGACTCCACAGTGATCCTTCTGAGTCAATCACAACTCGATTGTCCCTTTGAACCTAGATCTTGGGATCTCCAGTCAACTAGGTTGGGTTGCCGTTGTGGTAACTCTTATTTAATAGGCTTTAATCCCATTCCCCTCGATGAATTCTCAACTAACTCTCTTGCTAACCCTTTGGTTAGTGGATCCGCTATGTTGTCTTTAGACTTAACATATTCTATGGAAATAATTCCATTAGAGAGTAGTTGTCTCACGGTGTTATGTCGACGACGAATGTGTCGTGACTTACCGTTATACATATGACTCTGTGCTCTACCAATTGCTGATTGACTATCACAATGTATGCATATAGCAGGCACCGGTTTTGGCCAAATTGGAATATCTTCAAGGAAGTGGCGAAGCCATTCTGCCTCTTCCCCAGCTTTGTCTAAAGCTATGAATTCAGATTCCATAGTAGACCTAGCAATACAAGTCTGTTTGGAAGATTTCCAAGATACAGCCGCCCCACCAAGAGTAAAGACATTCTTCTTGTAAGTTGCAATCTGGATCCGCATCGATGATCCAAACCGTCTATCTCGTAAGCCTTACAATAAAGGTCATTGACAAGTGCTTGAATACTTGTTAATCTTTGAATTCTAATTACTTAATATGTTCTAATGCATTTTTATTATTTGTAGGCATTTAAGCTCATGATGGTAAATGACTAGCAATTTGGAGCTTTTGAGAGTTTGAAGAAATATGCATTGAAGTCCAAATCAAGTTAAAGAAATGAAGTGTTGAAAGTTGAAAAAGAGCAAATAAGTTTTTCTTTTTGTGCTTGAGCACAAAGTCTAAGTGCTTGAGCACTTAAGTTGCTAAAGAGAAGAATATTGTGTACTTGTGTGCTCAAGCACCAACACGATATGCTCGAGCATAGAACATTTTGAAATTTACCTATTCTTAGGGTAATGTTCAAGACAAAAGAGGGGATGGTTTCTTTTGAATGAGGACTTTTGGAAGCTTGGTTTTGAGAGAAAGACAATAAGAGAGAAAAGGATTCAAGAGTGAAATCAAAAGCGGAGCAAAGATTGGAAGATGAAATCATCACTCAATATGAAGATTTCTTCTACAATCATAATCGGCTAAACTCTCTATCTTTGGGTTTGATAAAACCCCAATCAAGTAACTAGGGTTTTATATTTCTTTTTGAGTAGATTGTATAGAGATGCAATGGCAATTAGCATTCTAATGGATGTTATTCTAGTAACCGGTGAGTATGTGTCAAAATAATCTAGACCTTCTTTTTGTCTAAAATCTTTGACTACAAGTCTTGCCTTGTATTTGTCTATTGATCAATCCGCTTTCAATTTTCTTTTGAAAATCCACTTATACCCAAGAGGTTTACAACCTGGGGGCAAATCCACCAATTCCCAAGTGTGATTTTGCAAGATGGATTCAACTTCATTGTTGACAGCTTCTTTCCATAAAGGAGCTTTAGGACTGGAGATAGCTTCTTTAAAAGTTAAAGGCTCATTTTCTAACAAAAATGTTAAAAAATCTGGACTAAAAGATTTTGAAATTCTAGCACGTTTTACTACGCCTAGGTTCTTCTTCCTCATTTTGGTCTAACTCTTGCTCTTGATCATGTTCTTGATTCTGACTAGTAATAACATCATGAGATCTTTTATTGTTACTAGTTTCCTGTCCAGTCTTATTTGGAAATACATGTTCAAAGAATGATGCATTTCGAGACTCAATAATAGTATTTACATGCATTTCGGAATTTTCTGATTTATGAATCAAAAGCCGATATGCACTACTATTCTTCGCATAACCAATGAAAATGCAATCAATAGTCTTAGGACCTATCTTAGTCTTTTTAGGACTAGGAATAGCCACTTTAGCCAAACACTCCCACACTTTTAAGTATTTGTAGGATGGTACTCTTCCATGCCACAATTCATAAGGTGTTTGATTTATTTTCTTTCGGGATACTTTATTTAAAATATAATTAGCAGAAAGTATTGCTTCCCCCCACAAGTTCTGAGGTAATCCAGAACTGATTAACATGGCATTCATCATTTCTTTTAAAGTCCTATTTTTTCTTTCAGCAATTCCATTTTGCTGAGGTGAGTAAGGAGCGGTGGTTTGATGAATTATTCCATGTTCTTTACAAAATTCACCAAAAGGTGATTCATATTCACCATCTCTATCACTTCTAAGTTTCTTGATTTTCTTACCAAGTTGATTTTCAACTTCATTCTTGTATTGAATGAAAGTTTCCAAAGCTTCATCCTTGGTTCGAATTAAATAAACATAACTATATCTAGTATAGTCATCTATAAAAGTGATAACATACTTTTTCCTACCTCTGGTTTGAATTGATTTAAAATCACAAATGTCACTATGAATTAATTCAAGTGGTTCCGTACTCTTTCAATTGAATGAAAAGGAGTTTTAGAAAATTTTGCCTCAACACAAATTTCACATTTATGATTTGAATCGATGTCAAATTTAGGTAAACATTCCATATTAATTAATCTACGTAAAGATCCATAATTAACATGTCCTAGTCTACAATGTCATAAATTTGAAGACTCAAGCAGAAAATGTATTATTATTAATAACTGAGGGTACAACGGTCATTACATTTAATTTGAAAAGTAGAGGTGAGCATGGTCCGGATTGGACCGGATTGGGATAAAACCAGGACCAACCCGTTATCTACGGTTCCTAAAAAATTGGAACCAATCCAATCCGTTTAAATCATGGAACCAATCCGAACCAATCCATTTAAATACGGATTGGATCGGTTTAGGACCACGGATTCACATAATTAAATAACAAAAATATATTTATAACACTTTAATTTTATAAAAATATAAACATAGCGCTATATTAGTTCCACAATAGCAACATATTTTTCTATAATAGCGACATACTGTTCTAAAATTTAAACAACCATAAGAAAATTGATTTCACTAGAAGTATCTAAACCATTACAAATTAAAACTAAAAACCAACAAACAAGAGTAATAAAAGAAGATATTATACGGTTTTAGGTTTGAGTTTAGATTTTATATAGAAAAAGTAATAAAAGAAGATATTATACGAGGTTTAGGTTTGAGTTTAGATTTTATATAGAATAAGAGAAGATACTATGGGGGAGGATGTATAATAAAAATATAGACTATTTGTATACGGTCCGGATCGGTTCCAATCCGGAACCGTGAGGTTCAATCCGGAACCAATCTGTAGACTACGGATTTTTAATTCTTCAATCCGGAACCGAACCGCGGATTTAAAAAACCAATCAAAACCTATCGGATTGGACTGGACTGGATCGGATTACGGATTTCACGGATCACTTGCTCAGCCCTATTGAAAAGGCCATCAGACATATAACTTTTTCCTACATACATCCCATTTACAAACTTGTCACTTTCAAAAACTAGCCTAAACCCATTCTTACTCAACAAAAATCCGAAAACAAGATTCTTGCGAGTATCCGGTATATGCAGCACATAATTGAGAGTGAATTCCTTTCCAGATGTCATCTTGAGTACAATATTTCCTTGTCCTTCAACTTTGAAAGTTGAGGAGTTGCCTATAAAGAGTTGTTCACCATTGTCCACTGTAGAATAAGATGTGAACATCTTTTTGTCGGCACAAATGTGGCGAGTAGCATCAGTGTCCACCCACCATTCTTTAAGATTTCCGACAAGATTTGCCTCGGAAACAACCGCAGAAAGATTGATGTCATCTACACCGTTGGAAATATTGTCCACTTCGGTCATGTGGGCTTGAGTAGGCTTCTTGCTTGTTCTTCTTTTGCTTTTGCCTTTGCTACGGCAATCTTTGGCCCGATGTCCCTCTTTGTCACAGATGTAACATTTGCCATTAAACTTGTACTTTTTATTTTCCTTCCCTTTAGAGCCTTGTGATGAACTTTCTTCAGAAGACTTTCGTTTCTTGGTTTTTGAAATATGTTCCACCACATTTGCCTTAGACTCCATAGGATGCTTACCAGCCCGCTTTTCAGAATTGCGGTTGTCCTCCTCAATCCTCAAACGCACAATTAACTCGTCCATAGAAATTTCTTTGCGCTTGTGTTTGAGGTAGTTCTTGAATTCCTTCCAGCCTTTTGGTAATTTTTCAATTAAGGCTGCAACTTGGAAGGATTCACTGAGAGACATGCCTCTGCGTAAATGTCATGCAGAATGAGTTGGAAATCTTAAGCTTGGCTTATCACAGTTTTTGAATCAACCATTACAAAATCTACGAATCTGCCAACCACAAATTTCTTTGAGCCGGCATCTTCCGTTTTGTACTTTTTCTGCAACGATTCCCAAAGTTCATTTGCTGTCTTGATTGGACTGTAGACGTTGTATAATGTGTTGTCAAGTCCGTTCAAGATGTAATTCCGGCAAAGGAAATCGGCATGTTTCCAAGCATCAACCGCAGCAACCACTTGCCGGTCAGTTTCATCCTCTTTCAAGATAGGAGCATCTTCACGGAGGAAACGAGCCAGGTTCAGAGTTGTAAGCTAGAACAACATTTTCTGTTGCCATCTTTTAAAGTCAGTTCCTAAGAACTTCTCTGGCTTCTCTCTGTGATTTACCGGTACCGGCACTGTTACAACAAGAGAGGGGGTTGGCGTCATTGCAGCCACCACAGTAGTACTTGTTTGGGCATTCGTTTCAGTAGCCATCAATTCTAATTTATAAAACAAAATTAGAATTAGAATTATACTACACAGAAAATTAAAGCCAAAAAACCACAGAATTTTAAATTCTGTAAAAATAAAAGAAACAAGAATTGTAACTTTTATTTCTAATTAATTTAAAAATAAAATAAAATTTTATTTTATTTAACTAAGGCCCCGTTTGGGAACAGGCTAATTTAGTAACTTTTTGGCTATTTGGCTAAAAAGGTAGGTAAAAAAAACTTATATGTTTGGGATGACTTTTTGGCTAATTACTAAAAGATGTGCAGAAAGTAGAGAGAAAAGAGAATCTTTAACTTTTTGGTATGAGTTGTTGACTTTTTGGCTAAAAATGTAACTTTTTGGCTAAAACAGTAAGTCCCCAAACGGGGCTTAAATTAAACCAAAACTACAGAAATAAATTCTGTTAAAATAAAAGAAACAAAACAAAATGTAACTTTTATTTTCAATTAATTTGGAAATAAAATAAAATTTTATTCAACCAAATTAATTCCACACAGAAAAAACATTTCAGTAACACTAAAAACTATAACTTTTATTTTTCAATTAATTTGGAAATAAAATAAAATTTTATTTAACCAAATTAATTCCACACAAGGAAATTAAATTCTATAAAAATAAAAGAAATAATAACTATAACTTTTATTTTTCAATTAATTTGGAAATAAAATAAAATTTTATTTAACAAAATTAATTTCACACAGAAACTTAAATCTCTTGTAACACTCCAATAATTAAAATACTGAAATAGAATTTTAATTAATGAAAACTCAGAAAATAATTTCTAAAAACCAAAATTAATTTTCTGACAAAATTCCACAAAAATATATTCTGAATTGTTAATGACACCAGTATCGCACTATTAGTTGTCAAAGAAAATAGACAGTATATTACTACTATCTGTCAAATAGCATATAATCACTATTTGTTTTTCCAACCAGAATATTATTTTGTAAATCCACAGAAAATATTTTTTTTTTTCCGAAATTATTTACGAAGAATGAAAAAGGGAAACAAACGAAAAATTCTGTAAACAGAATAATTTGTCTTAAGATTGTTGGATCAATCTTCTGTGCAAAAAAAATAAATTGAAATAAAGTCAAACAAATAAATAAATAACGTACCGTATTTATTTATCGAACTGAATTAAAAATTCAAAGACCAAGTCGAGTGTGTGACACTCTGTCCTTAAGACAGATTCGCCCCACTACGGTGCTTACGGTTGAGTGGCGTCTATCTCCCAGGATACAATGATCTTCACAAACTTGTAGTAGCACACCAAACAAATTTGTACGACGAACCAAACCTTGTGTTCTATACTCTCTTAATATTTATTCCTAAAACTATAATGAAGAATAAATGTACTAGAGTAAAATCTGGACAGCAAAAACAAAAATGCAAACTTCAAATTTTTTCATTCTTCGAACTGCTGGAAAATTGATCTATATATAGGCATGAAAGGTGACCAAAAATTTGTCCGAACAGGTGCAAAGACAGCCTAACAGATGTGACAAATTATGAACAGGTTTAGTTCAAATTTTGAACAAAATTGCAACCTGTTATAATACAAACAATTCCGGACCGTTGCACAACCAACACCAATTATTCAAACTTTGAAAAGTGAACCGCAATGGACCAAGTCAACCTGATGGAACTTTAATTTTTTTTTTTTAAACTATTGAAATATAGTTTTATATATATATATATATATATATTCAAATAGTTCAATATATATATTTAAATAGTTTAATATATATATATATATATATTTCAATAGTTTTAAAAAAAAAATTAAAGTTCCATCAGGTTGACTTGGTCCATTGCGGTTCACTTTTCAAAGTTTGAATAATTGGTGTTGGTTGTGCAACAGTCCGGAATTGTTTGTATTATAACAGGTTGCAGTTTTGTTCAAAATTTGAACTAAACCTGTTCATAATTTTGTCACATCTGTTAGGCTGTCTTTGCACCTGTTCGGACAAATTTTTGGTCACCTTTTGTGCCTATATATAGATCAATTTTCCAGCAGTTCGAAGAATGAAAAAATTTGAAGTCTGCATTTTTGTTTTTGCTGTCCAGATTTTACTCTAGTACATTTATTCTTCATTCTAGTTTTAGGAATAAATATTAAAAGAGTATAGAACACAAGGTTTGGTTCGCTGTACAAATTTGTTTGGTGTGTTACTACAAGTTTGTGAAGATCATTGTATCCTGGGAGATAGACGTCACTCAACCGTAAACACCGTAGCGGGGCGAATCTGTCTTAAGGACAGAGTGTCACGTACTCAACTTGGTCTTTGAATTTTTAATTCAGTTCGATAAATAAATACGGTACGTTATTTATTTATTTGTTTGACTTTATTTCAATTTATTTTTTTTTACACAGAAGATTGATCCGACACTATTTACGATACAAAACTTCAAAACTGACATAGCATAAAAAGAAAGGAATTAAATACATTGACTACCTGAGAGAATAATATTTCAATGAATAAAATATGCAGCTAAATTCCAAGAATGAAAAAACAATCAAAGATTAAAAAATGCTAATTAAAAAAAACAATGGACGCAGAACAACCTGCACCACTGAACAGAAACGGAAACTGACAGAAAGAAAAGAAGCAGCACTAACTGCATTAGATATACAACCCCATCTACTCAAATAGTTTCTATATCTTATGTATGCTATACACTTAAGTTATTACAAATTCAATAATTCCAGAAGCTATATTACATGAACTTTTCTAAATCAAATGGATGAAGTACTCATGTTGGATGCTCAATACTTAGGTAAGGGTATGAGATATGTATCCAACATGTGCAGTTGAACATTGACCATAGAAAATATTTAATAATTCAAGTTTAGCATATAAGTATGCATTAAACTCCATATTATGCATAAACTGCTTGCTATAAGACATTTTGCAAATACCATTTTTCCCTAGAAAAAAAAGAGTATATATTAAGTAATATGCATATTTTGCAATGTTCACATCTCCTTGGACATGAGAATTAGATGAATCTGACACACATGCTCGCACTCAATACCCATACCCAAGTCCACTTAACATAAACCAAAGAGAAAATGTATTCCACTCGTGACTCTTTTTTCATCATGTGATCTCACATTGATTCCTCATCCCAAGCAGGAGGTTCCTGATACTAAGTTCTAGATAGAGCCTTTGATTTCGGCTTTATTTAGAAGGTCTCTTAATGAGGCTCTTTTTAGACCAAATTAGAATACTAGACGAGATTCTTCCTGATGGCTCTTGAGGGAATCACACCCTAACTGTCTTGACGCTTTGGGCTTGGATATTTCCCCTTTTTGCTTGTTAACAAGCTTCAGAGGGTTTTGCAATTTGATTTCTTCAAGTTTCTAAATTTTATTTTTTTTTTAATTCTCCTAGATTGGACCTTTTTGGGGTTTTGAGAGCATCTCTCATGCTTTTATTAATTCCCATTAATTTAAAATTCGGCAAGAATCCACAAACCTCATAGCTGTTTGCTTGTCAAGAGTTTATTTCCACTGAACTTACCTCAAATTTGTCACTCACTGCCTTGCCAAGTTGCCACTTTATAAACTCAACATCAGTACGAAAAATGTAGGTTTTCCAATGAAATGTAAAGGCAAAATGGGGCAAAAAAAATGTTCGCAAACCAATAGGACTACATGGTGAAAACCCAACCACAACAAAACATGCCCAGAAACAAAAACAACGAAAAATCACAGTAACAAAATAATCAAGCAAACAGAGTAGTGAGTACATATATACAGCTATGCTTGCGAAATCGAGCATAGTTGAAGCACAAGAGAGCCCAATAATCACATGCTGCTTTCAAATATATATAGTTGTCATTAAAAAAAGCTTGATTAGGAACACAAAACAAGACCTTACTTTGCAGCAAAACAATATCACCAGCAAAAACCATGGAACCAATTTGCTTTTGCCAAATGGATACAGAAAAAAATCTGCGTGTATCGTCACCGACCTGAATGTCTGTCCTAATAACTTCTCCACCTCTTTTCGCCATCTTATACTGCCCAAAATTGAAATCTTTCAAATTTACAATACCAAAATCAAACCAACTAATTTTATTTCTTCAAAGCTACAATTTCAAGAACACACTATAAAATAATTGAGCAAATAACAATGCTTGAGCGAGCGAGAGAGAGAGACCTGAATGGGAGTAGATCTGTGAATGAAAACGAGTAACTGAACGTAATCGCCAATGTGAGAAGCAGCTTTGGAGAGATCGATCAGAGGTCCGTACCATCCGATTGCGGCCATAATTACGTACTACTACTCTTCACCCAAGAAGTTTGTATATATATATATATATGTATCGATGTATATATAATGATAATCCTATCATTCTTCTTCTTTTTCTTGGCTCCTCTGAAAATATTTTGGCGCGTAAATTTCTGTTTAGGGATTTGAGGGAGTGTTTGGCTGCAAAGGTAATTCTAGCCACTACTAGTTGGGGGATAACCTTATGTAGGACCAGGATTTTTCATTTTGTATAAATGTCATTAATTAAATTATTATTATTTAAAATAAAAATAAAAAAACTCATAAAAAGTCAAAAAGTATTAAAAAAATCAATTTCCAAAATGAATCTCTTTGGATTTGGGGCTTTGATTTTTTTTATTCATTTTATGATTTTTTTTAACTTTTTAATGATAATAAAAAAAAATTAATAATGTGTTTGAGAATATTTATTTTTTCTAATTTGTTAAAATAAAAAAAAAAAGTGAATACCCGATATATACAATTGATCGGTTTTAATTGCGCTAACATTTCTTATTACAATTTTTCCATCATTTTTACTTAATAGTTTTGATAGAAAACAAATAAAAATATTATAATTTAAATTGACAAAATTTAAAATTTATTTTGTTACAAAAGTTAACACTCTTCTTCTTCTTCTTTCCGTAATTTCTAAAAAAATTTATATGTAAATGAAACTCATATTATGCATAAATGTATTGTGCATCATTAGACAGAAAAATAGTGAATCCCACGTGTATATTTTAATAAGAACTTCAAAACCTGCTTGTCTAGTAGTAAAAAACTGTTTATGTATATCAGACACTGTTTATATATAACATAAATAATTTTTAATGAGATTGAAAAACTCAATCCGGCAAATAGTAATAAGTTATCATGAGGTAAACCCCAAATATATTGTCTAACACTATGTTGGTTTCGCGACTTGAGAGGTCGGATTAGACTATTATGGCTATGAGTCCCATTCAACACATGTTTAGTAGTGAAATGAGAGGACGGATTCCTAATCCAAGGGATTTAGTAATCCTCTCAATAAGGGATTAACTTGGCTGAATTTTGGATAAGATTAAGAAAATAGTAAGGAGATAAAATCTATTTTATATAAAAATAAATTAATTAATTAATTAAATTTAAAAAAAAAATTACTAAGTGCACCGATTTGTTTTAATATTTGTTTTATTTTTTTAATATAAAAAAAATTATTTATTAATTTTATATAATAATAATTTAACAATCTCATCACTATCTATCTCCCATACTATCATCAAAACAAACACACTTTTACTTAATTCCCTCACTAACAATCCCCACATTAACAATCTCTTCATTAACTATTCTTTCACTAATAATCTCATCCAACCTAATCCACCAAACAAACTTCACGTAAGGGTTAATGAAGACATATATGATGTACCTGCATCATGCATATCTAGTAGTAAAAATCTGTTTATATACATAAGACACTGTTTATATATAACATACATAATTTTTAATGAGATTGAAAATATTGAAAAACTCAGCCCGACAAATAGTAGCAAGTTATCATGAGATAAGCCCCCACATATGATGTCTAAGTGTTATTGAAGACATATATGATGTTTTCTTAACACCAAACAAACAAACAATGTTCACAAGAATGGCCCAAACTGCTCCTATGAAAATATGAGGCATAATTAAATGACACATCATTAGCATTGCAACGACACAATGTCGGTTTAATTGTCCCTTCAAAAATTTGCTAAATTGCTTACCAACAGAAGCACAGCAATACACATATCCCAAAAAGTTCAAGCAAAGATTGAAAGAGTACATGAAACCGCAACAGTCACCAAACTCCAGAGAGCCAAGATAGTGCATCAATGTCTTGGAAACTAATTCAACTACAACAGACCACCCAACATTAAAAACTAGTTGGGTTGTGCAGTCTAACAAAGCTAAAGCTTCCGATACAAAATGAATTAGACTCAAACTCAGACTCAGACTCCAACTCCAATGCATGGCACTGAAATAGCAGACACAGGCATGTCAACCGAGTTATACTGGGTGGAAATGGCCAACAAAAACAAAGGCCTATTCCACACAAGATGTATATCCAATATCGAACACATAATTGCATCAGCCATAGATTATTCAGTTTCAAAAACTACTTCAACGATATACTATTTCATATCTACAACAGAGATTCCATTCCAAAAACAAAAAAAGAAACTCTGTTTCAACATCCTAAGTCCGTCAACTGCAACAACTAGTATATGACTCCCAAACTCCAAATTACCTGAAATATGAGCTCATGTACAGTCTTGCAACTATATCAATAGGACCATCATCCCCACCAACCGCATGAAGGGCAATAGGAATTGTTGAGAGAAGGTGCAGCGTGAGGGGGAATACAGAAGGCTCAATTTCAATGGCTTCTGCAATTCCCGATTTTGATATGGGTGCCGGATCCAGTGATGCTACACCAGTATCCCCTACTATTTGAGATGCACAGCCACTGCTACTTGGTTCAATATTCCCTTTTGCACAGCCCATGTCACCACTATCTCCAGGAAAATCCAATGGCAACTCTAATGGACTCACAGTAAGTGCAACATCTTCAAGTGTCCTGTAGTTCCCTGGGCTACCTCTCCTCTGGAAGCGTTTATGTGTATATAAATTGAGCAACAATGTGGATATTGATTCAAGCCATTCTACGTTCAGGTCGTCAACTTCATCATAATATATACGCCGCTCAATCTAGAAGCATGTTAACAAGCAGGGCACACATTAACTAAATGGAGAAGGAAATAAATAAATAAAATGGGTTAGTTACACCAGAATGCCACCAACTATTAGTGAATATTAGTTTACCCCCTCATCCATAAACCGTATATTTTGAAGCCATCAACTATAAAAATGCATCACTCAATATGGGGACATCTTACGGTTTTTATAGTTGACAGGTCAAAATGTACAGGTTCACAAATGAGGAGAGTAAACTGATATTCATTAATAGTTGAGGAGGTCTTGGTGTAATTAACCCTAAAAAAAAAGAGATGGGTAGGGAAACTACTCACAGCTAACTTGTGGACATATATTGACATGAATCTTGGCCCCAGACCCAGTACCCTTGCTTCACTCAATATAATCTGCACAAGACCTAACAACAGTTAGGAGGATTGACAGATAAGCAAATAAAACTATGGTAGAGTTTATCACAATTTAAATGCAGTACAAGTTCAGTTATAAAAGTGGACGAGGACTACATTCAAAAAGAGAACAAATACCTCCTTTTTCTTGAGAAGAAACCACATGTAGAGTTTATCACTAGCATCTTTGACATGCTTACTAGCCAGCTTCCTCTCATTGCAATGAGCAGCAACGTCCGCAAGTATTTCCATGCAAGGAATTCTGTGTTTTGATGCTGCAGCAGATAATGCTTCCTGACCTTCACTCGATTCTGCTGCATCTTTATCAAAACAAATACCAGTGAAGCACCATCTTGTCAATTCCTTCCCATTCTTCAGTTTTTGCATAGTTCTTTTATACTTCAAATACATCTCTTCAGCTTCAATTGTAGCAGCCAATGTCCGGTGTACTACAATATCCGGATACCTACGCAGCGGTGAAGTAAAATGAGTGTAGAGAGGAACAGCCAAAGCATAGTGCCCCCAATCATTTTCACTGTCTTTTAAATCTCCACTACAAAAATATGTTGCCAATTGCATTGGCTTCGTAGCATACGACAAGAGAATATTAAACAACACAGAATCATTCTTGAGTGTTTCTCTAATCCGCTCTAATGAATGATGAATGTGACCTGAAGAAGAAGTGTCCAATTCGAAACCATGTTTGCTACAAAAAACTTCAAACTCTCTGAGCTTCCGCAAGTTAGGTTCCGGATGCCTACGCAACAATGCACTATCAGGATAAGCTCTAGTTATTACTTCTGCAGCTGTCACATTGGCCAAAAGCATAAACTCCTCAACGAGGAAATTTGAGTCCGTCCTTTCTGAAAGTATACCATCGTAAGGATTTCCATCTTCGTCAAATAAGAAAACCAGTTTGGAGCTTTCCAAACGCAATGCCCCATCATCAAACCTCTTCGCCTTCAATGTTTTCGAAATTACATGAAGGCTTTCAACAGATCTAATAACATCAGACCATTCAAACTGGCCATGCAATTGAGGGCAACCATCTTCTAAGGTACTAAAACTACCCACATTAAACAGCCCATCAATAATGGCCTGAGCATTTTCATACGAGAGTTTGCAACAAGATTTTATGACAGTACGGCCAATCCACTGGTCCAGAATCTCACCAGCAAGAGTCATGTCCCAGAAAATTGAGAAGGTGAGTCTGTCTACTCCAGGATTAAGTGATCCTAGTTTCTCTGAAAGCAATGGGGGCAACATAGGTAATTTACCCCGCAATAAATAGACATTAGTAGATCGAATTTGAGCTTCTATGTCTAATGATGTGTCGGGTTGAACAAAATATGATACATCAGCGATGTGCACACCGACTCTGAAAATGCCATTGGATAGCCTTTCGACTGATAGCGCATCATCAAGATCAGTCGCAGTGGAAGGATCAATAGTAAATATGCACATATTTCTTAGATCTATTCTGCTCTTAAGTTCCTCCGGTGGAACCTCCCAAGGAACACGTGGAAGGCAAGAAAGTGATTCAGCAGAAAATTCAGAAGACTGAATGGCATTTTCAAATAAAATTGCAGCAATATGTGATTCAATCTCTCCACCCCTCCCAAAAACATGCATGACACAAGCTTGTGGGAGATAATTTTCTTCCCTCCAATCATCAATTTGTGCAGCAACAAGTTCCATTTCTGTTGTTTCATCTCCATCCTCCAATCTTTTCTTGATGACATCAGGCAAGTCTCTCACAAATACCATCATTTTAGGAAACTTTGGGTCAGTTGGTGTCAACATAATGTACTCCCGGTTGGTGGATGACAACAAATTCTTTTTCTTCTTATTTTCCTTTCTGCAACCTTCCCTATAAGAAAGGCACTGCTTAACACTAAGAAATCCAACAACAGCATCCCGACGAGGAGACCTTTCAATAATGGCCACAACTCTGCCAGTTGGTCTCTTTGATGGGAATGAGCTTATCAACACGCACAACTTCTCTACTGAACTTGTAACATCATTCCGGTCATTGGAACAACCTGCCTGTGAAAGATCCAGTGCAGAAGGACAGTGTCCGTTAACAGAACTATAACTATATTCTGACACAGAGTTGTGCTGTCCAATTACTTCCGGACCAACATTTGCACCAGAGGAAGTACCAACCTCGTGTTGAAACCCCTTCTCTGGAGAAAATGAGCCATTTCTACCATTTACATACTCATAAACTGCATCTACCTTGTTTTTTCCTTTGCAGCTATCACCAACCAACTCAGTGGCATCAGAGACAGAGTTATAATCCTCCAATGGAGCAGAATTGTTGAAAGTCCCAGTAGACCCTTTCATCTTAGTCCATGCTGAGAAAGAATCAACTTTTATCACAACAATGTCTCCTTCAACCTATGTGACAGAAAATGTTCCATCAAAAATACATCGTTACAGGGATCAGCATATAAATTAAAAACACATTTAATGTGTGAACTATAATTTATTTATTTTTTAAGGAAATGAAAAGAAAAAAAAAAGGCACAATTTGGGCGCACATGCTGTTTGTCGGAAGAAGCTATAATTTTTTCAATATGAACCACCATAATAACAATAGTAATCTTCCTTTTAAGCATCTGGTAACAATGTAAATGTAAAGTATTGCCAGGTAAAAAGTCCAAAATTAGTCACATGACCGATTAAGTAAATTGCATGTTTCATTCCCTTGAATTTTGACCCCTTGTTGCTTCAAAATGAAAGGCAAAAAAAGGGTTTCCCCTAGACTGTAAAAAGTTGTCAATGCATACCCATCCCCAAAAAAATGTTATTGCATTTATAATCTAATGTAACAGCTCACTAATTGCATCAGCAGTGTTTGCATAGACTAACAAATCAAACTTGTTAACTTCTGAAGTGGAAAAAACAATGAAGTACAAATTTGAATCATTGACTATCTTTCTGGATGCACAAATAAATGCTTTCAGATAATAGTTTAAAAGATCTAAAAAATAAAAATAAAATGGACCTCAAGTAAAGATAATCCTGATCAACCCAACAGTTTGTATTTTATGATATTACTAAGATGTCATTCTTTGGCAATGAATTAAAGAAAAAACGGGACTGCCAATGATTAACAGTGTACAGCTGATGAAGGAACAGAAAGCAAACAAATCAGATTAGTGAGTTAACTTCCTATCACTTTACATCCATTAAATGCACAATGTACAAAAAGTACGCAGACAGTTGAAGTCAACAACACTTCATTTAGAAAATTATTAAAAGCAACCCCAGACTTACAGCTCTATTCTGAGCAGCAATTCCACTGATGAGAACATCTGTTTGAACTCCATCGATTTTGCAATAGGCCTAACAACACAGAACAGTGCATAATATTTGCATCATAATAGAACAAGGAGATGCAACAGAAATACGTGGAAAAAATTATAACGCACCTCAAGTCTGTTGTGAGCATTCACACGAAACAGCGCTTTAAAGACATTGCCTTTCTGCAGAATTAAAGACTGAATATGATAACAACCTTCTTCTTCTTCTCCATGATGTATTTACATGGTCTAAAAAGATCAATAATTCGGTACAACAATAAACAGCATCAAAACAAATACTGATTGAAATACATTGGCAGACTGACCTCTAATGCCTCACTAACAGATTCAACAGACCAATGAGGAGCAAAATATTTTCTCTGATGACAGGTCTGATGCGACATAAGAAAATCCTTACTTGCATATAACCCCATTGACTCCTTGCAAGCAATTGTCTTGGGATATGATTTTAAAAGCATTCTTCCACCAGAATCAGACGAAAACAGTAGCTGATTTTGCATACTTCTAACCTCCTGTAGTGCTGTTTGTTCATTTATATGTACTGTTGGCAATGAATTAAAAGCAACATTACATGCTCCAGGCAGTCGTTGCTCGTTTGGTGTGCCACTAGCTCCCATTATTTCTGAAGGTTCTGCTGGTAATTCATTTAGCGAACAACAATCTGCTCCAAAAACACAAAATTGAAACATCAGAGCCAACACAGATAATCTTAGTACCCAACAAACACATCCATTTCACAAATATAGGGGAGAGTGTAGACAAACGACGAGGAACGAAAACTTAGAAACCATAAACAGTCAATAAAATTCACATTCCAAAAGAATCAAGTTGCAGCTGAAAAGCAAGTAGATGTATGATCTATACTTTTGAAAACTCCATCCCCACAATGTTATCAACAAAACTAACGGAATGAAAATAAGTAATAACCTGTTTGAAGTGGTTTAAAAAAATAGAGTCAGGAAACAACATTTAGATAATTCCCAAATAGCCTGAGTTAAAACTGGCTCTTTTTAACTCAGGTTTATAGAAAAGTTTCCAAAAACAACAAACCCAACCATTTTCACTTTCTTTTTTTTTTTCTATTTTATGCTATTTTGAGAACAAAAAACATTATTTTTTTTTTAAATCACTCTACCAAACATAGACAGAATTTTGATTCACATGGCCATTTGGTTTCCAAAAAGAACTCAAAGGTCAAATAATCGAAAGATTACAATTATGTAGATGTTCTTGTTTTTCCTAGATGCAAATTTTTTTAACAGATACATTGCCTTCTCATTACCAGGCAGAGTATCTTTTCCACACGAAAAGCACAAAATTGCTTCCTCTCACTTTGTCACAAAGAATAAAGGACAACCATATATATATATATATATATATAAAGAGAACCTTAATTCAACTAAAGGCAAATATTTGCAGTAGAATCAATTTAAGTGGAAACCCAAATTCAAAATCATGACTTTTTCTTTCCTTCAGTTTCAGCCACCAAAAATAGCCTTTAAATCATAGTTCACATCCAACAACTAAATGGTTTTCACTTTGCCAACCAAAAAAAAAACAAAAAACCACCGATTGATACACAAATTTCCATCAGACAGAAAGTTGAAGCGTAAATGTTAATTTCCAAAATTCCCCCCCCACCGAACAAAAAAAAAATTAATTTCCAACCCACTATATTCCAAAGTCAACTATGTTCTGTGCCCCAACTTAGTTAAATCACAGCAATGACTACGACAAGAATTTCAAAGAAGATATCAAACAATTTAACACACACACACACACACATATATATATATATATACGTATGTGAAATTACCTGAAACGGAGGAATTTTGTTTGGATCGTCGATTGGATCGACGCTTCTTCTTCTTATCCTTATCAACATCCTCAGTCTTCTCAACTTGAGATTGCTCAACAACTGCCCCTCTCATAATTCAGCTGATAATCCAAAATTGTTAACAACACAGAAATTCAAATAACAAATCATTTAAACCCAAGGAACTAAATTTGAAAAAAAATAATAGATCGAAGAAAAAAACGAAACCCTAGGCTAAGCTGAGAGTCGGAAATCTTCCGATTGGCAAAAAATATTTACGGAAGAAACCGATGAAGAGAGAAGGGGGAAGAGAGAAAGAACAAAAGAATCTGAGAGAGAAGAGAGGATGGGTAGAGATAAGGTTTTATATATAGTCGTAGAGAGAGAGAGAGAGAGAGAGAGAGAGAGAGGAGGCGGTTGAAGGAAGGAAGGAAGTATTGAAAGGGACGTTATTACTTTTAACTGGTCGGCGAAAGACATGGGCGCCGACTCTGATTCCTTTGTCTTCCCTCTTTTACTTTTTGCCCCATCATCATCTCTCTTTTTTATTTTAATTTTTTATTAAAAAAATATATAGAAAAATATAGAACGTAATAATTTATAATTACTTTTTTTTTTTAACTATTTTAATTTATCGTGAAAAAAAAAAAATTCATACTTATAAATGCGTATGACATTAAATCTAAAAATTATTTTGTCTCAATTATAAAGATTTGATTAATATAATAATTTTGTGACAATAATAAATTATTATTTTAAATAATATTTTGTTTACTTTATTCTTCTGTCATTATTCTGCTATCACTAGAAAGTGCACTGGCATTGAAAAAGTTGGTGAAGAAAGTCAACAGTAGTTGGTGGTGATAACGATATAAACAAATAAATGACACCTGACAGATAGATAACACATATATAGGGGAAGTTAGCTTTTAGCTTTTAATCCATTTTTAGTCACATCACGAGTGCCTCTATTTACACATCACTTTTATCTTAAAGCACATCTTTAGTAATTTAAAAAATAAGAAATTTGCTCAATACACACCACAATGTTTCATTTTTACCCTTAGTCACACCCAACCACCACCACCACTACTTGTAACCCAACTCTGTCGCCGGCGTCGGTGTAGCCCCTTTCCCTTCCCCTATATTCTTTATCACCGGATGTGCATAGTTGTGGTATCGATGTCCGAACATCGAAGAATCCGAGAGTTAGTTCTGATTTAGTGTCAAGTATTATATTTAAAATTATAAGGGATAAGTTGTTGACTCGGCCATGTGAGATAGTGACTATTTTGAAAATGGATTGTGGGCTAGATGTGAGTTACCACGTGGTATGGTTAGGCATAGAGAAAACAAAGGTTGTTATTCATGGAGATCACTCATTATCATTTGACGATATTCGGATGTTTTGATGCGTTACAATCCGGGGAGTTATGTCAATATTGACTATGACGCGAGTAGTCAATAGTTTTGTTGTTTATTTGTATCATTCGCTGCATGTATTTCTGGGTACAATTCTTGTCAGCCTTTGTTATTCCTGGATGGAATATTCCTCAAAGGAAAGTACAAACGTCAACTACTTACGGTAACGGCAAAAAATGGAAACAATGGTTAGTAATTTTTTTAGCTGTGTATCCACGTAAATATTTATATTGAGCGGCATAGCGTAGATATATAACGGACCATTACACAGTGTAAACATTCACATGACCTATTTGCTTTATAGTGTTTTTGTAAACTACTTGTGTTACTATTCACATTGGAATATTGTGAACAATTGTTTAATGGTGTTGTGTTGTACGTCTATTCCCTGTTGCATTTGCGATTGTTGATTCAGAGACCACGACCAATTGGTCGTGGTTCTTGCACAAACTTGGAAAGGTTGTTGATGGTAAGTGTCATATTATTTTTATTTCGAACCGTAATCTTAGCCTGTTAGAAGCGATGCCGAAGGTGTTCCCATTGGTTTACTATGGTTATTGTTTACAATACTTGAAGAAAAATTTAAGAGACCAGATAAGGGGAATTGATAATGGATTTAAGAACCACCTCATTAGTAGTTTGGGTGACTGTGCTTAGGAGCCAACTGTGGTAGGGTTCCATGAAAAGCTTGAGAAATTAAAAGAGAAAGATAAGCAACAAGCACATAGTTTTTTTCAAGGAGTTGACACTTGAGCACTAGGCGAATTCATACTTCAGATAATAGTATTTTCCTGATGTATTCCATTTGTCAAGTTTAGAATGGTAGCAATATGAAATTTCAGTTATGTTTTGTGACGATGTGAAATTTTATATTCAATTTCAAAAAAATTAAATTCAATATTGTACAATGTTTGTGATGTTGTGTAGGGGCATACGTTATGGGGAGATGACATCCAATGTGGCAGAGTCATTTAATAATTGGATTAAAGAAGCACGCTATCTTCCTATCACTCAGATGATGGACACAATTCTTACTCAGTTGATGCGCCAAATGTCTGCTCGGCGTGACTAAGTAAACAAGTGGAATGAGCTTATTTGTTCTACATTCAAAACAATGCTTCTTGATTCGTTTAATGACAGCAGGTCTTGGCAGGTGAGCAAAGCCAATGAGAATGTGTTTAAGGTTCATTCTATACCATCTGTTATAGTTAACATTGTAAGGTGTACGTGTTATTGCTTCAAATGGAAAATCAACGGATTCCCATGTAACCATGTTGTTATTGCTATTCAGAAAAGCTGCTACAATCTCAATGATTGTGTAGAACATTACTTTCATGTAGAAACATATCGTGCAGCCTATTCGGGTGCCATATTCCCTATACCGTCGGTGGAAAAGCGACATTTTGATCCCACAAACTTCACTATATAACCATCAACTGTGAAAAGACCACCCGACAGGCCCAAAAAAAATAGAATCCCGTCAAGAGGTGAGAAACTGAAGCAAATAAGGTACAAGAGATGTGATAAGTTGGGAAGTCACAATCAGAAATCATGTAAGGAGCCGATATAGGGTGCATATTTTTTCATTTCAACATTGTGTTTTACATGAGATTCTTATATTGATTTTTGAAATAAGTTGTGTTATGTTGGCAAGCATTGTGTTGTAATAAGATTACGTTGTGTTGGCAAACATAATAATGCATTGGTAAATCTAATAATGCATTAGTATTTGATTTGTGTTTTTTTTTTTTTTTTTAGGGTAGCAAACTGACATTTTTGTTGGTACAAAGATGAATACATAATGTAAACATTCACACTTGTGCAAAATAATCACATTATGTGAATACTTGCACATGGGTTTAGGAATGGCAACGGGGCGGGACGGGGCGGGGCCAGGGATCGCCCTCCTCATCCCCGATCGCAGAACTTTCCCCGTTCTCGGCCCCGATCCCCGACGGGGAACCCACTACTGCCCCCACCTCCGCCCCCTAACGGGGATCGAGTTTCCCCAACCCCGAAAATCCCTGGCCATCAACAACCCACTTGAGCTCAAATACATAAAATCACCAACAGATCAAATTAGCACCAGAAAAATAAAAAAAATAAAAAAATAAAAAAGCGATCACAACACACACACATCTTCAACATCATCACTATCACGACCCAAACCCGGCCCTATGGGTTTAGCACCGTAACCGGCCAGTAATCCGAGATTACCGAAGGCCTGCTTAACAGTAATACAGTAAAACAGAGTACAGGGCCTGGCGGAAGCCAATACAGTAATTAAACAATGTCCAATGAGCTGTGACAGTCTGTATGCAAAAGATTTTCCATGCATTCATACATAAACAGTACAGAACAGTATGCACAATATTCACATCCATTCAAACTAGGGACTCAACCCTACATAACAGTACAGAAAACATTCCGTCTGTACAAAACAGTACGGTCTATACAAAATTTACAGTCACACAGTACAGGGACCTAATCCCTTGATACCACCCTTCCCAATGCATCATTGCTTCCCCTCACACCACCCAACAAGCCCTAGCCATGGAGGCCATTCTAACTCCCAACCCCTCCTCATCACAATTGTTTCCATTTTGTCATGTTGTTTGAATGGAGCAAGGATCCTCTAGAGTATTTTTTTTTAAAAGTTTTCTAGAGTGGTGCATTGTGTGATTGAGATTTAATGACAAGTCATATCAATTTTTCAGCATTAAATCTCAACCACACAATACACCACTTTAGAAAA